ATGTAATGGTAGTCACTCTCTGAAGGATGTGGTGGTCTGAATAGGTCCGTTTGTATTGTGCTAGTGTTCGCCCAGTTAGTAAAGTGTGGGGTTCGAACGGGATTGACACGACAACACGACACTGTCCTTTCATATTGGTTCATTAGTTTTGTATTCTTCAAGTTAGTGATGACATATATACTGTTTTGTTCTATGTGTATCAGCCAAATGTAGTCAACTTATTGTATTAGTACGAGTAGCCTGTGTTATTGGACATAGTGTACATAGTGTCTGGGCTTACTTCGTCGCTACACAAACTGCCACACCATATATCAACTAGCTCTGTATCTTTTAAAAGTTTTCAAGCACCGAGATAAATATGAATCCAGCTTAACTTAGTACCATATGTTTACATGGATGTTGTATTGTTTTTAAAACATGATATGCACTTTTCTACCCATTACATCTTGTACGATGTAGTGAGGCCCTGTACAGAAATAAAATTACATAATTGACTAATACTAAAATGAATAATTGTAGACAGATTTCGACATGAAATTGTGTCACTTTTATGTGCGCTAACATCTGTGAAGGGCGAAAAAGCTCGTGAGTAGCATTCTACCTTAAAATGTTTGGACAATAATGCTAAGATACGTACAGTCTTGTCTTTTTTGTGTACGACATTTTGCCGTAATGGATCAAGGGCGTGGGTGTGTTTGTCTGTGGGTGGGGAATGGCCTAGGACCCCTTCTCTAAAATGGTAAAATAGTTCAAAAATCTTATGTGGAATAACTTACCATCGTAACACAAAGTAAACCAATTGAGAATATAAAAATGCATGTAACAGAGCTCAAACACACTTTTTGAATATTATAAAATTCACACGTTTCACATCAAATATATCATTTATAGTTGTTTTCAAACCCCCTATTCAAAAGTGCTGGCTATGGGTATGTGCTATGACATCGGCAAACACGTGCTCACCACTATGACATCGGCAAACACGTGCTCACCACTATGACATCGGCAAACACGTGCTCACCACTATGACATCGACAAACCCTAACAAGTTGTTCATTTAAGTAAAGACGATTATACTTTATAACGAGAAATCGTGAATGTAATTGCAATGACATCAGGTACATTTAAGATCAAATAAGTCCGACAATAACCAACAATACACGGTAACTGGAAGCTGCTCAATGAGATTATAAACGTACGTATACATGAACAGTTTTCTTGAGTTCATGCGACTTTATTTAAATCCGGCATACCGTTATTACCGTTAAAATGTTTGTTTGATAATGGTGCATACATCCAAATATGAGATATACGCATATGTGATAATGTACAGTAGTATATTACCGTTGCATAAGACACCTTAGGAATTGAAGCATGCACACCAATTGCTTGAGTAGTCACCGTCAGTACAATAGTTGTCCCCAGGGACACCCGAGCTGGAGCAGCTTGTGGATTTATCCAAAACGAGACCCATGATAATATGACGAGGAGGATGCTGGGAATGAAGGCACTCAACCAATAGTAGCCGAGAGCTCTATTAAACTTTATGGTAGCTTCAATACATGAAAATGTGCCTATAATGAAAATAATACAAATAACACATGTACAGTGTATTGGCTCTATTGGCCCGTGCTTGGTTTGCAATACAAGTATATAATCGAACCGCGGTATTTTTTGATCCAAAAGCCGTGATGATACATTAGAACTCAAGTGTTTGACCGTCGCACCATTTTAAAGTTCATTATGCTGCTACATTATGCTGTTGCTGTATGTTGCCCTATCAAGAATCTCCAGTTCGTGACTTGTGATCATTGTGTAAATAAATAAATAAATAAATAAATAAATAAATAAATAAATAAATAAATAAATAAATAAATAAATAAATAAATAAATAAATAAATAAATAAATAAATAAATAAATAAATAAATAAATAAATAAATAAATAAATAACAATTGCCAATAATTATTTATCTGACAAAAGTGTTGATGTACTAAGCTCTGTTAAAAGCGTGTGTTAAAGACATGCACGACTACTCACACATTAATGTTAACATGACCTAGACAACGTTCTCGTGTGATGTTCTGATTAATTAGTACGTGAATTGTAGATAATTAACATTAACTGTACAGTGTCTGGCATGACACATAAAAGTAACAGTACCTGTATAATAAGTTTTGTCACATCGTACTGTTTGGTTGTCGGTGATAGTAAACTGACTCAGATATAAATTCTCCGGTAGTTGTATAGGTTCTTTTTGTCTCCATAACAGGAGCAGATCGGTTTCTGTGTAGCCGTCTGCAACAATATTTGAATAAATACGGCATGTGACGAAACCCGATTTCATCACGTGATGTATTCATACACGCACATCAGCATTCACCATACACACATTGTGTGTTTCTAAGGTCTATGGTTTATTTACACAAAAACAAGTGAAAAATACATGACCTGAACCATTTCAAATGGAATATACTTTTCTTAGAAGACATATTTAGGACGATTGGTCGACAACCATTATTTAGACTTTGTTACATTATTATAAATGTTATCACAGACATAACACGTGTGCATATTGTAAAATGCTACTTACACGTCTCCAGTTGCATACCACATAACTGACTGTCCATTGGAAACATGTCAAATCTCATTTGACAAACTAAGGTTAAACTTAGCCTTTAATAAGAACAAAATAATGCAAAAAGTGTGTGAGTTTAACTCTCACATGGAATTGTACAAGATACATGAAAGGTAGATTGTAATACACAATTGAAATTTCCTTGGACTTTTTATGCCGTTGCTGTCATAAATTGTACTAGGACTTTTATATACATAAAATATAATCCAGTCACTGACCCCCCCCCCCTCTCGTGCGCGCTCTCTCTCCGGGTGGGATCGGTGGTTGGGGTGGTGGTCGGACACTT